CTTTCTGGAAAAAGAGAAGGTGGAGCTATGCTTTCTAGAAGTCCTACCAGTGTCTGCTGATTCTCTTACTGTAAAAAAAAAAAAAAATTCTCACAGTGAGAAGGCAAGATCATGTGGGACATGTGGCCCGAAGAAAGTAGGAGCTGGCTGGTGGTGGAGACTCACAGCTTGCTGTTGCCGAGCTGGGAAACGGCTGGGAAACGGCACGTGTGTGAAGCGGGAAGGTTTGTTTAGAACGGTCTGGAAGCTTGGTGGGGGGCCTGACACCCCCACCAGGACCTCAAGGGCAGAAGCCATTCCAGAGCAGTGAGCTCTCTGCTGCACTTCTCTAAAATGGTGGCCAGACACAAAAGGATGAATATTATGTCATTCCACTTTTCTGAAATATCTACAATAGGCAAATGCATGGAGACAAAAGATTAGCGGTTACCAGGGGCTGGGAGAGAGGGTGAATGAGGAGTTAAAAAAAAAAAAAAGAAAGAAAGCAAAGCTGCTGCAAAGCGTATGTCCAAGAATAGGGAATTAGTTGAATAAATGATGGTCCAGCCACACAGGGGAAAAGCAGACATTAGGGATGCATGTATTGACGATGACCTAGACACATAGATATGGGCATGGAAAAAGGTCCCCAATCTATTATTAAGTAAATAAAACAACAACAACAAAACCCAAACACATTGCCGTTGAGTCGATTCCAACTCATGGTGACCCCATGTGTTACAGAGAAGAATTGCTCCATAGGGTTTTCAAGACTAATCTTTACAGAAGCAGATCACCAGGCTGCTTCTGTGGCACTGCTGGGTAAGTTCAAACCACCCACCTTTAGGTTAGTAGTTAAGAGCAAACCATTTGTGCCACCCATAAACTCGTTGCCGTTAAGTCAATTCCGACTCATAGTGACCCTATAGGACAGAGTAGAACTGCCCCGTAGGGTTTTCTAAGGAGTGGCTGGGGCATTCGAACTGCCGACCTTTTGGTTAGCAGCTACCTATAGCAGGTAACAAAACACCGTATTTTATATAATCCCATTAAAAAACAAAACAAAACAGACAAACGAAACCCCACCCAGGCCCAGACGGTCAGAACCTCGGCAGCGGCATCCCGGGCCTGGTCTCCCGGTGAAGGCCGGCAGTGTGGTGCTCGGCATTGGGGGAAGCCCAACCAGCTTCTTGCAGTTGAGATGAGTAGCAAATCACAGGACTGCGAATGAGGAAGTACTGAAGCAAGCCTTTCTCTACGGGAAAAATTAACTGGATAATAGATTTCCACGTCTAACTACTGCCTGGTGAAAGCAGATGCTAGCCGAGCCAGGCTAAGCATGTCTGTGTAAACACAGCCCGAGGCTGAGCATGTTTGGGTAAACACAGCCCGCCTTCCTGTGGCCTGGCTTAGGGTTGGCTGGCGTGCTGGCCAGCCAGCCGGGCGCTCCAGGCTCACTGCTGAAAGCTCTTACTATCAAATTCCAGGGAAGAGCTGCCGGCCTCTAACCAAGCATAGTCTCCTTTCACTCCTTACCACCAGGACAGCTCGGAGGAGGAGAACAGCCAGTACACACCCCACGCAAGCCCACCCCTGGGGAAAGCAAGATGAGTCAGGAACCCTGGAGAAATGCTTCCCTAGGCCAGCGCCAGCGGCTGTCCAGCTGCAGACTTGGCAGAGCAGAGGCGGCACACACTCCAGCTCCTTGGATGCCCTTGATTTCCCAAGAGAGCTTCCTGGGATCTACTTTGTTATTGAGGAGCCAGTTAGTTTCCAGAACTGGGATTGAGTGGGTAATATTTGCTTTGGTGCCATTGATGGGTGCCTGTGTGTGCCAATGGCTCTGGGTATTACTTCAGCTTCTGGTGCTCATGCCCCGCCTTCTCCACCCCCTGCCTCCTTAGGCCCAACAGCTTAATGGCAGACCAATGATCAGATGAAAGCTTGGGAGTCCACAGAATCTGCCCGCAAACTGCAGAGGCTCACCTGGCCGCTATTCCAGGTGATGCGCCTCCCAGCTCCATCACCATCCTTTGCCTGCTGGGTCCTATCTAGACTTCATTGTCAGTAAAGCTACCTTGCAGGTCAAGAGATTGAACTTGCACATTGGGCCCCAACCATTCCCAGCTCACATACCTTATGTAAAACCTGCAACCATGCACCCCTTATTGGTCCACTCCATACATTAATCTCTTTACTACATTGAACTTCTTTGAATTCTTTGGGAGAATGTACAAGAGAAGAAATCTCAGTTGACTTGTTTGGGGGCTGCCCCATGGCAGACCTCCACTAATACTTGATGGAATGAATGTGACAGTCTCCCTCACAGATGATTGGATAGGCCTCTTCTTGCACCAGTTCTGTCCCTCCTCCCCCGCCCCCGCAACTATTTCTGCCTGCCCCATGACATTCAGGCCTAGAGTGAATTTGGTGGCAGAGCTGGCCCTCAAAGTGCCCTTGTTCTGGTTGTGGGACTCTCAAAAGAAAAAGCAAAGAAGTATACGAGCACCCACCCTCAGAGTTGTGGAACCCCTCATCTCTGGGTCATGGAGGTGCTCTGCACCTGGCCTGGGCTCTGTTGCCCTCCAGCCGGAACCACGGGCAAGCCCTGTTCCCTCTCTGGGTCTCAGGGTCCCATCGTTAAGAGGAGAGGATTGGCCATTTAGGTACCATTTAGTGAGGGTCAAGTACCAGCTGAACCCGTTGCCATGGAATCAACTCCAACTCATGGCGACCCCACGTGTATCAAAAGAACCGCTCCACAGGGTCTTCTTTTTAATAATATTTTACTGTGTTTTTGATCAAGATTTACACACTTTAGGTTCCCATTCAACAATTCCTACACAAGCTGTTCAGTGACATTAGTTACATTCTTCGCAATGTGTGAACGTTCTCATTATTTCTGTTCTGGTTGTTCCATTGCCGTTAATCTAATTTCCCTGTCCCCTTACATTCTCATCTTTGTTTTAACGTGGTTGTTAATCGTTTAGTCTCATATAGGTGATTTTTTAAAGGAGCACAGTACTTATGGGTGATATTCATTATTTTGGGAGCCAATTTTTTATTTAGCTATAAAGTGACCTCAGGGGTTAGTTTCAGTTCAAGGTCTGAAGAGTTTCTCAGGGCAAGTCTCAGGGAGTCCTCCAGTCTCAACCAGTTCTATAGGTCTGGTTTTTTATTTTGTTTTGTTTTTAGAAATTTGGGCTTCTGTTCCATGTTTTACTCCTCCATAGGATTTTCAATGGCTGATTTTTTGGAAGTAGATTGCCAGGCCTTTCTTTCAAGGTGCCTCTGGGTGGACTCAAACCTGCAACCTTTCAGTTAGCAGCCAAGCATGTTAACTGTTTGCATCACGCAGGGACTGCGAGGTTCTGCTAGGTGTCGCATAATGTGCCAGGCCCTCCACCTGCATGATTTCATTTAATAGTCAGAGCAGCACCATGAGATAAGAATGATAATCCCACTCCTTTCACAGATGAAGAAACTGGGGCCCAGAGAGGTTAAGTGGCAAGGCCAAGACTCAGACCTAGTTGAGTCTGCCTTGAAACCACGGTTCTGTTCCATGCCACCGCCATCTGTGCTCTAGCTGTGGAGCTTTGGGAAAACGCAGATGCCTGGCCCCCCAGCAGCAATGGATTTATGATGCGAGGGCCTGGGACTCTGAATGATTCTGTTAGGCAGCAAGGCCTGAGATGCACAGCCCTGGGGGATCTCTTTTGACTGTCACTCTTGTGTGAGAGCCGTGACCTCCACCCCCATCATGCTGGCAAGTGAGCTATAAGCTCATCAAGCCTGAAGAGCCCAAGGGAGAGGGCGTCAGAGGACCAGCACTGGATGGCCTAGTGAGACTTCCTAAGGGAAAGAGGGCATGTAAGTGATTTCCAAGTCTCTCCTTATATTGATCATTCCAACACATACTCCTCCACCTGCACCCCTTTTCCCTGTTACTTGCAGGAGAGGTATTGCTGACTGACGAAATCTGTTGACATGCAGGTCATGATCATTGACAGGACAACAACAGATGAGGCCATTAAAGGGATTTAGGAAATACTGCATCCCTAAGGCCTTTGCCTTATTTCCAAAGGCAATGCATTTCTAAATGGTGGGCATCTCTCCCAAGGTGCAGAGCCCAGTTTGGGCCTTTTCCTGTTAATTGATATCTCCCAACCTGAGGATGCATCTGCACAGAGGAATTTCTTATGTAGATAAGATTTATCCTTTTTTTTTTGGCTTACGAGTCCTGCTTGTTAAAAACAAACAAGCAATTCAGAAATGTAGAGAATAGAAAGGGAATTGTCAGTCATTCCACTCTCCACTCCCCAAGAGATGAAAACTCCCAGCTGTTAGGTCTAAGTCCTCTTCCACATTATTTTGGTATGTACATAGTGTTGAGTGTGTGTAAAAATAACTGAAATCATGCTACGATTATTCTTCTGCAACTTGTGTTTTCCCCTGAACAATGTATCTTAGCCTGCTTCCTAGAGAAGCACCCCCAGACCGATTTCATTCCTTTAAAGGCTCTGTCGTTTTCCACTTTATCATAGCAGCCCCACGCATTTAACCACGACAGGCAGGCAACTTACAAGTTAAATGTCTATGTGGTGCTTTTCCTTTGTAAAAATCAGGGCATCTGTAGGCAAGTCGGCATTGAAATTATCGTAGCTACTTCGAGTTTGCTCTGAAATGCCTGCCTTTTGCAGTATAGTTCATTCAGTGATTTCTGCAAAGTTTCACGGAACTCCTTTAATTGGGCAAAGAATACCCTTTGCATGACTTTCCGTCATGTTTCGTATACAGACAGCATAATGCCTTATTTGAAATGTAACAAGACAGTTTCAATGAAACAGCAACAAAGAAATAAGCATTATGGTTCCAAAAATAGGCCACATTTTATACTTTTGACAACTACTAGTCTTGAAGCTGTGAGGTCTGCTTTACCTTGCAGGTTTCCAGTTCGTTAGCTTTCATGTGCCAAGCCTTTATAAAAATGCCACACTCTCTCTTTTCTCTTTCAGCCACAGGGCACCGTTAAGAGGAGACAAGCCGGAGACAGCTTCCAGCACTTCCCAGGCATGGCTGACGGGGGTTACCCTAATAAAATTAAGAGGCCCTGCCTTGAAGATGTCACCCTTTCTATGGGCCCAGGGGCCCATGCCAGTGCCCCCTGTGCTGAGCTGCAGGTGCCTCCACTGTCAGTGAACCCGGGCGCTACAACTATGAGCGTAGCTGGCCATTCACTCCTCCTCGAAAACAATCCCATGAACGGCAGTCTTATGGGTTCACCATTTGTGGTGCCCCAGACAGCAGAAATGGGGTTGAAAGTGCCCACTGTCCCTTACTACGACAAAGTCAACAGCATACCAAGCAGCATGCCAGCTGTAGACCAAGAACTTCAAGATCTGCTGGAGGAGCTAACCAAAATTCAGGAACCTTCTCCTAGTGATCTGGATCTTGAGAAGATCCTGGGGAGCAAGCCAGAGGAACCGCTGGTCTTAGATCATCCCCCAGCAGCCCTGGGCCCAGCTCCCAAGCCTCCGGTGCACATGCCACACTCGGAGGGCCTGGGTTCCACCAAGGAGTTTGCTTCGAGTTGCAGCCAAGTGGCCGGCGTGTCACTTCACATAGCACCCTCCTCTGCAGGGATCAGCTACACGCTCCCTGCCAGCAGTAAGCAGATGGCCTCACCCAGTTCTCCGACAGCACAGGCCAAGAGCCAGGGCCGGGCGACGCTCTCTGTTGCTGCGCCACCACCTCAGGTGCCTCAGTGGCATCACGCTCACCAGCTGAAGGCCTTGGCAGCCAACAAGCAGGGATCCGCTTCGAAACAGCAAGGGCCCCCGCCCAGCTGGTCTGGTCTGCCTCCCCCAGGCCTATCCCCTCCCTACCACCCAGTGCCATCACCACACCCACCACCACCATTCAGCCCACAGAGCCTCATGGTGTCCTGCATGTCGTCCAGCAACCTGCTGGGCAGCAGTCTCCAAGGCTCTCCCAATGCCTTACTCGCAGGCATGGCTACCAGCAGCAACGCTGCCCTGGGGCCCGTCATGCCCTACGTTTCTGAGAAGCTCCCCAGCCCGGCTCTCAACCAGCAGTCGCAGTTCAGCCCTCAGAGCTCCATTCTTGCCAACCTGGTGTCCTCAAACATCAAGAACCCCCAAGGACACCTGATGTCTGCTCTGCCCACCAGCACCCCTGGGCCCTCACCACCCTATCGCCCGGAGAAGCTCTCCAGCCCGGGCTTGCCGCAGCAGTCCTTCACCCCCCAGTGCTCTCTGCTCCGGAGCCTCACACCCACCAGTACCCCATTAAGCCAGCAGCAGCAGCAAGCAAATTCGATCTTTAAGCCCATGCCCTCTGGCTCCTCCAAAACCCTGAGCCTGATCATGCAACAGGGGTTGGCCAACCCCAGCCCAGGGGCCCCAGAGCCGTTTACTTTTGGCAACACCAAGCCCTTGTCCCATTTTGTCTCTGAGCCGGGCCCCCAGAAGCCGCCCTCCATGCCGGCCACCTCCAGGCAGCCTTCCCTGCTCCACTACCTGCAGCAGCCAATGCCAACGCAGGCCTCTTCGGCCACTGTCTCCTCCACCGCCACTGCCACCTTGCAGCTGCAGCAGCATCAGCCTGACCATTCCTCGATCCTCCTGCAGCAGATGATCCAGCAGCCCCAGCGCCTGCCGCGATCGCTGCCCTCGGAGCCCAGACAGGTAAGACAAGCTCACATCTGATGGTGTGGCGTTGTTTTGGAAATAAGGACTGTGTCTTCTGCCATTGCTAGCTGGCTTTGGAGGGCAAAGCCAGGCTATAGTTCTCTCTGACACTGGACTTGACTCTGGAAAAGGCTAAACCAGCAAATTCTGCCTGGTTAGAGCACAGTGTTAATGAGGCCAAGGTTATGGTTCCCATGTCTGTTCAGGTCTCTTACATCTCTGGGAGGAAAAGTCTACACCCACAGGGCGCTCCCAGGAGGAGTCACGGGAGACAAGTCCGAATTGCACCCCACCACCCTCCTCTGCACCCCACCACCCTCCCCTGCACCGGGCCATGTAGTACGTTCCCTGACACAGGGTCGGCACAAGCTTCTTAGGACACAAGGAAACTGCACTGAAATATTTAAGTCTTGGCGTAAGGATGCATGCTCAACCTTCTAGAGATGCCAACCCTCACTGTATAGCTCCTGAAAGGAAAAAGATAGATTCTTGTAAGGTAGTTTCTCTTATCATCTCGACTTTACGAATGCAGAAACTGAGGCTCAGAGGGTTGAAATGACTTGCCCAGAGTCACACAGTTATTGAGGGACAGAGCGGGAACTTGAACCCGGTCTGGCTCCAGAGCCTGCGTTCTCCTTGAAATTATTTTTGACTTCTCCCTCTCCCTCATCTCCTACAGTCTTATCAGTCACTAAATCCAGCTGATTCGAACGAGGTGGTGTCGATCACAGATCCTACTTTTCTGTGCTCTGCTCGCTGGCTGTATTAGTTCTGTATTGCTGCATAGCAAATTACCCCAAAACAGCAGCTTAAAACAGCATGCGTATATTACCTTGCAGTTTCTGTGGGTCAGTAACTCAGGCATGGTTTAGCTGGGTCCTCTGGTTCAGGGGCTCTCCCAGGGTGGTAGTCACATCAAGGCTTACCTGGGAAGGATCTGTTCCCAAGCTCACTCGGGTGGTCATTGGCAGGGATCCATTCTTTGCAGGTTATTAGACTGATGCCTCGGTTCTCATGTGCCGTGGCCTGAGGCCTCCCTCAGTTCCTTGCCACGTGGACCCCTCCACAGAGCGTCTCACAACAAGGCAGTCAGCTTCACAAGAGGGAAGGAGTGCCAGCAAGACAGAAGTCACAGTCTTTATAACCCAATCTCAGAATGGACAGCCCATCCCTTTTGCTGTATTCTCTTTATTAGAAGCAGGTCACTAGGTTCAGCCCATGAGGAGCTCACACAAAGGTGTGACTACCAGGAGACAGGATGTCCCCCCCTTTCCATTGATCGGATCCGTCTTGATTCTTTGTCTGAACTTTTACAGTCAGCTCTTAACTGGTTTCCCCAATAAGCCATCCATTACTCTGATAGTTATCTTGCTCGGTGACCTGAGAACCTGTCAAACTTGCTCAGAAGTCTTCAGAGGCCCAGAACCTGGCCCCGCCTCCCTCCTTAGACTCCACCTCCATCTTGTTACCCTGAAGTACTGGCAGCTCTTGGCCCCCACTGGGCACCGTCAGCCTTTACTCATGCCGTTCCCTGTGCCTGGCCTTCTCCTTCCCACCTTTTCTCTCCTGTCCAGCTCCTGCAGCTCCTTAAGATCCAGGCACCATCCCCTCCAGGAAACTTGGCCCTGACGGTCCTCGGCACTTCCATCCCCTCCTTCCCCATGCCTCCTCTTCTGTACAGCACTTAACAAGGGGATGTCTGTCCATTAAGTGCTTGGGTCAGAACCCGGCCCAAGTGAGGCCCTGTCAGGGCTGCCCTCTTTCCTGAGGACCTCGTAGGAGTGTGACTGTGGTAGCCCCATGAGATAGAGACAGTGTCTTCATGATCCAGGTCCATGCATCCTAACCAAGCGGAGTGCGCCACACCGGGGGATCAGTCCTTTGGTGGATGCGTCCAGCAAACAGAGCTCCCGTGGGGTCCCCAGGGGGCGCAGTGCATAAGCAGGCAGGGCAGGCCAGCTGGGGCACGGGGCCCTCGTCCACAGTTCAGGAGCACTGTGGTTTGATTTTGTTATAGGCCTGTTGCCATCTGTTTGCATGGACTTCTGCAGCTAGCTCGGTGGAGCGCCAGCACCAACACTGGGACCCTTTCACTAGCAGGCAAGATGCTCAGCCTGGAGACGCATCACCATCTATCATTGTGAGCCTTTTTGCTTTGTTTTGTCTTCAACGGGGTCCCTTTGTAGCCTGACTGTGGTGCCCCAGAACAGGGTCAGCTGGCTCAGAGGGAGAATTCTTAATGATCGTGGTCGTGAAAAGCACACCCAACCAACGTCCTGTGTGGGGCTGGATAGTGTTCTGGAGAAGGGCCAAGCAGCCAAGTCTACTCAGGCTAAGAGCATGATAGAGGGCTCAAGGGACCTCTACCAGCACAGGTGAGAGCTAGGCTCACCTCCCCAAATGTGATGTCATTGCCACCTGGGGTAGCCTCCCCAGCCAATGTTGGCCAGGGACCACTAGCCAGGACTAGTGCCTTACCTGCCTTTTCTCACTTCAGTCCTCAGAGGTAGGGCTGGTTATAATTTCCTGAGGCACAGAGAAGTGACCTGAGTTGCCCACTGTCACACAGCAAGGCAGGGCCAAAGCAGGACATCTGGCTACAGAGCTGACACTCACAACCCCATGCATGCAACACTGCTTCCAGAGCTTTCCACTCCTGCTTTAACCTCCCTGAGATGGTTTCCTCCTCTGGAAAATGAGGATTCTGGAAGCTGTTGTGAGGGTGAAGTGGGTTTAAACATCTAAAGTACTTTGAACAGGGCCTGGCACAAAGTCTGTGCCAACCAAGGTTCGCTATCATTGAGACTCTAACTCCTGGCCCTGAGCGGCCAGATCTTGTTTTCTGGGGGCAAAGAGGCAACTCTGGAAACCAGATGCTGTTCAGGGGACAAAGTGAGCAGCGTTCTTCCCAGACCCCATGCCCACCATGAGGTTGGCAGGAGTCGTGAGCTCTCCCTGTTCTAGGCCCTGCAGCTCCTGGACATCTCCAGGCCTGGTGGAAAAGGGAAAGGGGGCATCTCCGCCTGGCCGGGACTCTCGCCATTGTTCTTCCTCTTGCCATCTCTCATGCTCTCACTCCACCCATCTCCCCAGCACTCTGCTCTGTAGATGCCATTCTTCTGGCCAAAACACGCTGAGCAGAGTTCCAGACTGGGACATCAACAGCTTGCTGTGCCTTCTTGTGGCATTTCCCTGTTAATTGAAGGCCTAAGAATTCAACCCTGGTCACTTTTCCAGGGGAGAGAAAAGAAGAAAGAAAAGAGAAGAATGACTGAGGCAAAAGCTGGGGCCCTGTGGGAGGACAGGCAGCAGCCCCACTGGTAGGAGAGTGCATGCTTCTCCACTGCCAGTGGTGTAAACTTCCCAAGTTCTCCTGATGGCCAGGCCGAGCCTCAGAAAACACTAGTTACCAAGGACATAGATGAGAGTGGGTGCTGTGGAAGGACCAGACATTCATTTTACCCAGATCTTAGTCTTCTAAAGGATCTTTTCTAACTATAAGATGAGAAACAAACTCTTAAGTAAGCATGAATGCAAAATCCGGCTCATTCATATTTGCAGGCTAGCATTTCTTGACCTTGGCAATTGCACCTTGTATTCAATGAGTGCCTGATCCAATGTCAATGTACCCTTCACTTTCACTTTAGGTAAAAGGCAAATGCCATCTGCCTCCAGGGCAGCAGTTCAGGGTGGCAGTTTGAGCAAGAGCACTGGAGGCAGACAGACCTGCATTCTTGTCCAGCCACCAACAACATTGAGCTGGGTCCTGGAGCAATGTTAACTTAACCCCTCTGAGCATCAACTGAAAAGGGGGAAAGTAATAGTCCCCTTGCCGAGGGCATTGAGAAGACGATTACTTAGGACAGTGGAGTGCAAGTTCAAGGTCTTGGATCTGAAACTTTGGGGGGCAGATGTGGTTCCAAATTCAGAACATTTGGGACTTTAGAAAGGTAATATGGCACATATCCCAAATATCACACAGCCCTCTGGTGGAATCAGGCAGCATTCTATTATTTTTGCAGAGAAATACGAATATTTAACTAAATCCAGCTGAAATTTTGCCCTCAAATAAATGTTGCCACTGAATTTGCAAACATAAAATTGGTTGTCAGAGCTTTTTGGACTTCAAGTCACAGAGAAGGGATTTGGACTTGTCATTCTGAAGGGGGGGATCTTGAACTCCGTGATGCCCCCCTTTTTTTGGAGTCAGGACACCTTGCCTCCCTTTGTTGGATTTTAATGATTCCATCGCTCCTCATTGTATGCCTCGCCCTAGCCCATTCTAGAAGGAGTATCTTTGTCTCTAAGAAAAGGGAGGCAGAAGGATTTTGTTTCCAGAATGTGATGCCCCTTCTCCCTGAAGACAATTGGAGGTACCATAGCATGTTGCAAAATCAGGGTTAGGAGATGCAGCTTTCGATTTTGTAATTAGCAACTGGTTAATAAAAATTACCTGTACTCAAAGACTCAGCCAAGCACTAGGAACAGAGGTCAGAGACGTGCTGAGGAAGAGAACGGCTAGCAAGAGGTCAAATGCCAGCAGAGCCGCACTCAAAGCTGGAAACCTCAGAGCCTCCTGTCTGGGGAGTCTGGAGTGCAGCTCCATGGGGAGGAGGCCTGTGGATGGTGGCCAGTTGGAATAAGAACAAAAACGCCCGAAATCTGATCCTTGAGACAGACCAGTGGCACAGGGGGAAGGGGCAGCTGTGGAGACACAGACCAAAGAGGCACACACGGTTGTTTTTACAGATTTTGAGAGCGGAAAGAAGAGGGAATCAAGTCTCAAATGCTTTCTACCTTTAACAACAAGCCTAGTCCGTCCTTAGCTCGGAATCCCTGGGTGATGCAAACAGTTAAGCACTCAGCTACTAACCAAAAGTTGGAGGTTCGAGACCACCCGGAGGTGCCTTGGAAGAAAGGCCTGGCAATCTACTTCCCAAAAATCACCATTGAAAACCCTATGGAGCACAGCTGTACTCTGACACACATGGGGTTGG